AGTTAGTTTTAACACTGCATTAATTATTTCAAACAGTTTGGTTTACACGAATAATACAGTTTGGTTTTGTGTACAAAACGTGCAATACGCGTCCTCGATATATTCCAATTGTCCAAAGTTTATATTTTACTGCAAATAAATTTGAAGCGTACAGCCTCAACATAAAGTATAATGTATCATGAAAACAGATTTTGTAAACTATTAACGCTGTACCGTATGCATTATAATTTCTGATTATTCATTGCAATACAATTTAATTCTATACATTTCCGAAGCAATTTCATTGCAATGTTAAATTTTGCATGAATAATGCCAATCGCTATTTATAATAGCAAAAACAATAATGTAAAAAATAAAGATTAAATAATAATCTTAATCTAATTTATTACCGTCAATTTTATTCTGTACTTTTACTATTTTATATTGCTTTTAAAATAAATCAATTATGTTTTTTTAAGAATTGTGACGATGTATTTTTGCAGATATATAATACAACTCTTCTTTGGTTTACTGAATATTAAAAAATACTCATTTTAAAAATATAAAATTAGATTTAGTTGAATTGACTTATAATATAAAACTTATAAATATATATATAATACGATTTATTATTATTCGTAATAATATAATACAGTATTTAGCGTGGGATTCAATAGCAAAATGATATTCAACGGGACAACTTAAAACTCCGATTAAAACGCGAAAGTATGAAACAATAATAGTATCATATTATAAATATAAACTGATTTGTTTATATTTACAATATGTGTACTATTATTATTTCATGAGAAAAAAATATTAACTGCTCATTAAAGTTTAAAAAAAAACTTTTGACTTCTGTTAGAGATTTATGCCCCGCACTCATCAAGATATTATTCCATGCCATGGTTCTCGCGTGATACCTATATAGACGTATATACTGACAGACAGACAAAAATTCAAAAAAATTTTGTCTTAGCTTCTTCTTGTCTAATAAAGAAATGTATTAATTTTTTTAATATCTTATGTACAGACATCGCCCCACTACAATTTAATGTACAGATACATACTTGAATATTCTAAACAGAAAATACATAAATTAAAATTAAAAAATTAAGCATTTCCTTATTTTAAAAAGCAGGCAGAAAAAAAATTCGCATAATTAAAAATTAAATGATTCCGACCAACAACAACTCGCCAATAAATATTCGCCATGCATAATTTTAATAGTTCCCACTTTTAACGCGCCGCTTTAAGAGCCTTTTCTTGCCGCACAGAACCTTTTCTTTTTTACTGTTATCAAATGAAATCATTGATTAATCTCTCTTTTGTCATTATTCTTAGGTTTTACCTTACGGTGAAGAGTGGAAATGAATTTTAGATTGATTTAAATTCTATGTAATTACTTGTCCAAGAATTACAGAGTTACAGACACTATTATTTTAATGGTACATAATTTTGGAGCTGCTTGTCACGTTTTGGTCCACATTAGTCTACACATTATGATAAACGTTTTGGATTACATTTCTTGCAAAGTATTTAGATCACTAGCCATTCCTTTTATACACATTTCTCTCAGCATTCGGGTGCGATGTGAGACAAAACTCTTCATCCTTCGGACGTGTCGAATCAATTTGTGGTATATTCATACATAGCAGAGATCTGCTCGGAGACCGAATATTACTTGACAAATCATACTTGATATATAGAAAGGCACAATGTTGCTGAATACAGCGATATTTTTTTTTTTTTCTCTTTATTTTGGCAACAAACAGTCGTTATAAAAACATATAAATATACAAATAAAAGTAATTTTTACGATAGACATTGAGTGCCGAAAATTTTTTACTTAATTTTATTTTTAGTGAGCCTAGTGGACTAAAATAAAAACAAAACAATACAAATACGAAGAAAATGAATAAGAAAAATGAGTATGAATAAGAAATAAGAGTATTACAATACAAACATTATAATAATTATAATAACAAAAATAAAAATAAAAAGGGGGTTACTTTAGTATTTCGATATGAATAAGATTTTCAAAATGCAACGAGCATTACCACGAATGCATTTTTTTACCGTGCCTCCTAAATAAGTGATCGATGTGTTTTTCACGAATATGATGGCTAGATTCAATGACATTAATTGTGTTCGGAAGAAAACTTCAATAATAGTTTCGCTCGGTTTGAGCTCATATTACGCCAAAGAAACAATATAAGCATTATTCCATGATTATTTGGTTTGCTGGCTATATGAAAGCATCACCAAATGATGTCCATAATTTTCTCCATTTTGGATTATTATAGTGGATCCATTTATTATTACATGTAACTAAATGATGTAAAAACCCCTGTCCCTTATCCTTGGCAAGCAGTTATGCATAATCGGCGTTCATCGTCTCTCGTCTTTAGTTCACATGGAATTCATTTTTATTTATTTTGAATCATTCTCAACGATTTTAACGATGCAAAATTGCTTCGTGAGTCACTTCTAATTTAAATGCCACTTTTTGCATTTGGGATTATTCTTCCACAGTTCAATATGTTCAAATACGCCCTTTTAAATTTGTTGAAAGTACTTGCAACTTGTTACACTCGTATCAGCTTTATCATGAGCTTCTACTAGCAATAGACTAGCGTCAGCTATATTTTTCAAATACAATTTTGCACGAATAAAATACGTGATCCTGATGCAGTATTTCAGCGGCATATCGATATCATATACCAAACACATGTTATTGCACTTTCGACGTTGCATTTATATTATTTCCGTACTTTCTGACATATACTTGTATTGACAAACATCAGAAACTCGTTTGTGTTATACAAATTCTATATTCAAAATTAAATGTTTCCCTATTCACTGATTTCGGTTATTAGTTACTAGATTAGTATAATAAATATTTGAAGGATCTTGAATCATGAGTTAGAAAGTCCAATGATCAGAGAAAATCTGATAAACAAACTGATGCAATAAAATAGCATTGATATATAACTAATTTAATGAGTCAAATATACTACAAGGACTACTGCTATTTTATTTATAAGGTTTTAGAGGAGAAATTATACTAATGCTATTATAGAAAAATTAACAAACTACTAATGCATCTAATTTTGTTTAGGTCTTAAGTACAAAGTGCAAACTCTGTAAGTCTGTTGTATCTACAGTACATATAAACAACAATATCTCACAACCCCATTTTACAGCATACTATGGTGTAGATTTATTTTCAACTGTGGTTAATAAGTTGACTAATAATGATTAATGCAAGAGTATTTTGATATTGTATTATTCTTTTCACATAGTATTTAATGTAAATTAATTTCCTTGATCTATTTCTGTGATTTTATGCTTTTCAATATTTTTATGTTTATTGTTATATGATGAAAGAACTTGCAAAGTTTTAATTAATGTAGTACAGAAGCAATAAAAATTATGTTCATGCTAATTGGAATTAGATAAATAAACTGGATTTTTTTTATATATTGAACAGTTAATAGAATGAGGTTATGTTTAAAAATGAAAAAACTATTTTTGTAGGAAAATTATGTAAATTAGGTAATTGGTTTTTATTTATTCATACCTCAAAACAGAAATATATCTAATAAATTGTAATATTTATTTTCATTATAAATAATATAATGATAATTATTTTATTCCACAGAGTTTACTGTGCTATCTAATATTGATATTTATAATTCTTTATAGAGAGTCTCAGTGACATTATTCTCTGCTCACTTATAGCACTTCGCTATAAGGCATTTAGGTCTATAAATAAAATTTAAAAAAAACTGTAACTAACATAAATCAAAGGTTGGTAAGAGTAGAATTATTCAACAAGTTTTGTATTTTACTAGTCTTTTTTTATTTTTAAATCAGTTAATTAAAAATAAACCCCATTACTTAATAAAATATAATAATGCATAATTAAACAACAAACCTTAATCTTTTATATTTGACAGAACTTTATTTCAATCAAATAATTACCAAATTTGCTTACTAAATAATACAAACCAGAAATGAAAAAGTATATACCTTTATATTTATTTCCATCTCATATATATATATTTAATTAAAAGTACAATATAATATTAGGACATAAGTAGTAAATCAGCACAAAAAGTATTAAGAAACAATCAATTGTTAATTTAACTTAAAGAATTTTTAATGTATAATTTATATTTGCCTAAAGGGACTCCTTTTAAGAATATATTTTAGTTACTTATTGTATTATATTTTTTAAACCTTTAATTTTAGGTTCTTAGTAGTACAATTAAATTATAATAAGTAAGTAAGTAAGTAAGTTCCATTCTGAAATTACTGTAGGTGTATTACAGATACATAGAAAAAAAAAATATATTTATTCTAACTACCTACATTATACATTGAATAATGTCTAAATACAATACATATTCATTGAATAGAAATCATTGTTTCAAATTAGTACATAATTTACATATATTTACAATCTGTTAATTCCTATTGGAAACAAGTAAGTAAAACAAAGTTTAATAAAACTTCTTGAGTACCTACATAATAATACATAATGGCATATTGAATTATGTTTTCTATGACGTGATACATCGCATATGTTTATAAGTATAGTATAAAGTCATACAAAGTTGTAGCCGCCAAATGCCTTCCGTTAGGATGGCGAGTCTTGGATTGTTCAATTGCATTCCGTCATGTTTGGCGATGTGTAACAACGAAACGACTCGACCGTGAGCATCTAGCCTCAATATCGCTATCAGAACACGATACACGATAGCGCATCTTGCGATACAACCAACAAACGGCTTTTATTTACCTATCCAAAACACTACATCCAATTTCACATCAGCTGTCAGTGATTACGTCAATACCAGCAAAACCTGTTTCAAACTTCCTGAAATTATTCATGAAGCCGTATAAACTTAATAAGCAAAGCGTAAATAAAAATAAGAGGCAGCTCGTGTGTGCAAAATAATCTAAATTAACAAAATATCGATCTACAAGAAGCGTATACTTTACTGCAATCTTACCTTCAGATAACTCCAAGTCCAACTCGGCTAATTTATCTCTTATCTCGTCAGGCAACTTTGATATATCAACACTTAAGTCAGCCATAGTTGAAAAACACTTTTTTCACACAAAACAAATAAAGTTAACGACAACACTTCAAGAAACCATAGTGACACATGGCCATCTTGAATTTTGAATAATTTCTGTCCGACTCACATCACACTTCGAACTAATAGAACAGCCGATGGCCGCTAGAGGGCTCTAGCCGTCGATAAGTTTGTTCTAGATTACCAAAATCACTTGACGTATTGGTAATGTTGCTATAACAAAAAATACTGATTCTTTTTTAACCATAATAATACTTTATTCACACGCACGTTTATTATACAAATAAAAATAAACAATAAGTGCGACTCTTGCAACTTCGATATTATCGTATAAAATAATACATTGGTCCAAAACAATATGAAAACTTCATTTCTTTTATCTATGTCACTAAATAATATTTTCGAGATACTTTAAATCACTATGCAATTTAAAGATAACCCTTGTGTAGTGTTTACGTAACTAAACATTTAATTAAATGCATATTAATTATAGTTTTCTGCATAAATTGGCTGTCTATAATAATTTGAGTAACGAACTATTTCCTTGACTACCCTTATTGATTTTTGGTGCGAAAATTGTACGATAATCACCATAATTTATTACTAGGTGTTCAGTTTCATCATATTTAACCACCGCTAGCGTTTTACGTTTTTTTTTATGGAATATAATGTTGCACCCAAATTCAGCACCATATGTCTGCAGATGCACTCAGAGAAAATAATAAAACGAGCAATAAGTCTTGACAGAATTTATTACAGCAATGATCCTGGAACAAAGGACAGTCTTTTTAATGAGAAATGTTAAATATGATTATATATAATATCCTTGATAATTCGGAAAAAGTGATTCGTTCTAGAAACCTATCATAAATAAATAATCTCAGAAGTATTCACACAGCGCTATCTAGACTCAAGTTAAAATAGCTAAAGCTGGGTTATGGATACTAGATAACTGGTACGCATATACACACATTCCTTTATTCATATTTATTAACCTATGTACCTATGATTGTTCGTGCCTATGTATATTTATACATAGGCACGAACAATCATAGGTACTTATGGATACAAGTCTTTTTGCCGTGCGAGAAATCGAACCCGCGACCATCGGAATTAAGACGCTGTGCGCTTAATGCAAGAGTACCACCAGACCACCGAGTTTTAAATGCAAGAAAAGGCCTATAAACCTAATAAATAGTAGTCAATTAAATAAAATCAAATTAACGTAATGAAAGTAATATAAACCTGTTCAGAATAAATGAATGTGAACATATATGACAGTGAAAAAAACACAGAAATGGTGTGTTCGCAGTTGCTAATATGTTATATATTAAACGTCATATCATAATAGATATGACGTATATAATTAATTAAAAAAATTTGAAAAAAATAATGAAATTTGATATAGATTATATAAATCATGACATATGGAGTTTTAATTACAAAATATTGTTTCTTGATAATCTTTTATAATTTGAAAGTGACTAATTTCTTTACAATAAACATTATCTTGCAATCAAGTACTTGAATGTAGACTAAGTTATATTGAAACATCACTAGTCAGTTTCAAATTTATGTTTATAAAATGTAATCTTCATTAATGTAATAATGACTCCATTAATGAAACTGTAACTAATGATGTTAATTGCTGTCCAGTTATGTTTCTATTGCTCTAAAAGAAAATTGCCTAAGTCACGAGTATTCAATATACTTCAATTTAAAACTAATAAATGCTTTTTCTGTAAGTTTGTTTTCGTTTAGGGGCACATAAATATTCAATCATAGACAAGCATGGTATAAATTACATACTGGCAACATTGTAAAAAACTTCACCGCTAGAGTGCGCTGATTATTTTCTGTTCCCGTCATTCTCATTCGTTGCCTAGTTTTTCTTTTTACTTTTGGTGTGTAGTTTAGTTGGCTGTAAAATTTATTCTCGTAATGGCTGCCACGCTAAAAGTATAGCTTATTGGTTATGTCATGTATATAGGACAAGTGTTCGTGTGTGAAATTAGTACCTACAAATCAACAAGTGTTGCGAACAGTGATCATATGAAAACAGCGTAATCTCAATCTCCCTGGAACGTTTCCTCTTTCATGTTTCCTTTTTTGGCAATTAAGTTATGGACTCGGCGTTTGTGTACTGTATGTAGTAAAAAAATAATCTATGCACCGTGATAAGTGTCCGTATTAACCATATTGAGTGCCAAGTGGGTAGTCAGTAGCAAAAATGACCGATACGCGATCGTCATCGGCGCTGTTCAAGCGAGCCGAGCAGCTGAAGAGATGGGAGGAATCCGATACCAACAAACAGTCGCCGACACCGAAGCGGGCTTCCAGGATACAATTCTCGTCTGGTATAGTTTTTCTGGCGGCATGTACGTCAGGTGACAAGGACGAGGTTCAACGGTTACTGAAAATGGGCGCGGATATAAATACGGCTAACGTGGACGGATTGACGGCTCTCCATCAGGTTAGTAGATCATTTGTTTTATCTGTGTGCTCTATTGTGTTATTATATTTTTGTACGAATTTAGTGTCAGGTACCAATAGTGTTGAATCCAGCTGAGTAAAATGAGAGATCATATTGTTATCCTATCAATATTATATATATATATCAATAATACTATTAATATATGTCAATATCATCATATTTTTAGTTTATAAAATAATGTAACAATATGGACAATGTATGACTATGACAGTTGTCCAAATTTATATAAACCTGTTGCTATACTGTCACTACAGTCCTGAATTACTGTTACTGCTTAGACCTTCTAAATTTTTTATTGTATAATTTTTTTTGGAAAACCATTGAAATGCCTTTAGCAGCACTAATGTCTACACTGCCTGACACCAGTTGGTGATGATATGATGAGCGAGGAGAGACGTGGAGGTCAGGTTTGTTAAACCATTGTGTAAAATTTACCAGGAACTTATTACAATGGGTTCCAGGGAGAATCGGATGGTGGTAAATCTGACATCATACATTGCTAGCAATGGTGTCTGTAATATGCACTTCTGAGGATATTAAATTTCGGACAACACTCACATTTACCAAAACCAGATTGAATATTATTTAAGTAACCCTCAAGAATAAGATATGACAGTGTCATTAGTCCACATTACTAAGGCCTCACAAATGGCACTATAAATTAGCAACTTAAGTATCTTACTTAAAAACTCATTAATTTTATTATCTATATAATAGGAGGTAAAAGATATAACTTGCTTCTGTTTGGAAGCAAAACAATTTAATATTTATTAAATCCGCATTCATATAAATCCGCTTACTAATAATAATCAAGCTATTCACTATTTACATACATGACAAGAGGTATTATGCCTTACAATTTGCCTTTATACATCTGTCCTTTCACAAAATATGAAAATATTATTCTGTAGATTCATAAAGTTCTCAGCTCCTTTAAATAAGTATACCTGATTGATTATGGCTGTCTCCTGATTATCAGGAATGAATAAATCCAGTAATATTCCATAAATTTGAAAATCCGGATAATTGTTTTTAACGTCAGAACAAACAATATTTAATGGGTTTTACATGCATAGTTTAGATTTATAGAACTTATTTTATTGATTTTTGATATAATGAATCAAATCTTTTCATTGTAGCTGTCTTATAGCCATAATGTAATTTAATTGTAACAACTGTGTGGGATCCGATTCATCTTTCAAATCAGTTAAGAACAACATCTAAATATTCAAAGGCCCTAGCATGAGATGTTACTTAGCATACATCTCCAATTTCAGTTGCTTCTTTATCTTCTTTCTTATTAAGTTTGTTGTAAGTTGTTTGTATGTAAGTTTCATAAGTCGTTCAAGTTTTTAGTGATTTATTCATCAGTTCATTTGGAATCCAGTATCATTTCTATGATAAGGGGCAAGCCTATCACTAGTCTCAGATTATTTTGGTGGTGTCCACCAGAAATATAAATAGAAAATATATTGTGAGTATTCTTACACACAAATTTATACAAAACTATGCTTGTCAGTTTCTTAGGAATCATCCTTATATTACTGATAAATATAATTATTCTGAAGAATTGCAGTTCAATTTCTCTTTAGGAATTTTTGAGACAAATAATTATAGATAGAGATAGAGTGAACTATTGTTATGTATATAACTTAGTTTTAAAATATCCAGAGATATCTGTTACTGTTTATTTATTCCACTTATCAGTATTTATAACTATTAAAATGGCAATGTTTCCTACCTACATATCCATAGAACAATGGCATCAGTTTGAAATGAGATAGTGTACCATATATAGATACTGCATTAGTGTCAGTTTGAGATATAATTTAATTTATACTTTGTAGATTGACTACATATAGTTCCAGTGCATATATTTAATGAATGGATATGCATTGTTGTAGGGTTACAAAGTTATTGGACATATTAATGTTTTATTTAAGTTTATCATAGTCTGCTCTAAGGAATGCAGTGAATACTGTAAGCCTTTGTAAACAATGACTTGTTTGTTATTATACTTCCTGATATTTGAATTAGATAGTCCTGTTTTGTTTGATTAACTACATTGCCCTCTTATACTCACAGTATCAAGAAAATCACAAGACCATAACATGTTTGTTTTATATTATAGAGTTCCTCATATTTAAAAATACCATAATCGTGAGTAAATTGAAAAGCAGCAGGTAGATGGTAAATTATAGATATTTGTCTACTGTCATACATCTTTGTTTGTTGCCCCTAGTTTGGCAAGATGCATCTCGCCATACTATCACACCGCATCAATTGTTTTTGTTTATTCAATTTCAGGTATTACAAAACCTATAATCATCTTCCTGATTGAAATTTTTGTATTACAGTAGGCTCTCAGACAATTTTTGGGATATAATATCTTTGGTTCATGTAGTTCAATTCAGTGATCTCGATCCTAACAAATCTTTTAACCAATTTTAAAATGTGGAAATATCTATTTTAACTATTTTTTTTATATTATCACTGTGTTTATGAATGTCACTACTTTCAAATTACTTATCCTATTATAATATTCTACTAATGCTTTATCCTAAATAATTTCAAAATATTCAAACTGTCATTCTATTTATACACATATATAATGTATAAATACATTTATGTATGTATATATAAATATATTTATACTCAAAAGTATTATTCTTAATAAGACATAAATTTACATATTAAGTATTCACAAAAACGATTTATAAAGTGTTGTCTGTCTTCTGTTATGTTAAACTTTAAGTTTAAAAGTAAGTATAATATATGTCTAGACTGTGGTTTAATAATAATTTTATTTAAGGAAAGAGCAACAACAGAATTAATATAAGGAGATTATTGCTGTATTAAATTGCATTGCAGCATTGACCTAAATACACATTCCATATTAAATAAATATAAAAGAAAATGAAGAGATTATTATTAAAACGAAGGCTTTGCCCATTATTTAGGTTTAGTTTATTTTCTTTCAATGTTCCCTTTTAGTTGGGGCAAACCTGGGCACTCTCTCATTATGTGCTCATCATTTTACTTACAGTCAATCTATGTTTTATTTAGTCAACTTTATATTGTTGAATAGATATTAAAGATATTTTTTTAAATACTAACTTTAAACCCCGGAGTAATTCTTTTCTTTATAATTATCATCATCATCATCATCATCTCAGCCCGGAAGACGTCCACTGCTGGACATAGGGCTCCCCAAAGATCTCCACTACAATCGGTCCTGCGATGCTCGCATCCAATGCCTTCCAGCGATCTTGACCAGATTGTCGGTCCACCTTGCTAGAGGCCTTCCTTCCTTCCTTTATAAACTAAACATTAACCCCTGTGTTCTGACAGTAATATAGATACAAATATTTATACTATTACTATTTTTTTTCTGTTCGCCCTATGATTTTTAAATGTTTTCATACAAACCTAATCAATATTCTACCATCATGTTAATGATCTTCTACTTCATCATTATCTACTTATTCTTGGTGTTATCTACTTTGATAATTCTTTTGTATGTTACCATTACAGTAATTCTTGTTCATAGTTACTTGTAATATAAATATTACTTGTAATGTAAGAATTATGTGCACTGATAGGATTGTTTTAATATATTTATTATCTATTTTCACACTAAATTCTTTAAGGGGTAGGCAGGGAGAAACAAATTTGATGTAAGAAGTAAGTGGTTCCTTCACTTTTAGTAATCTTGGCGATTCACCTGTTTGTTTGTAATTAGTAGAGGCAGGAGGTGGAATGTATTTTTAATAATTATGATAACATAAAAAAAATTGCCCATTGACATTCTTGCCAGTAATTTTCATCTGAAGTAGTATTATTTTGCATTTTTCTTTAAAAATGACATACTAACAATAACATTGTTATTAACCTATTGTATCACTGTTTGTATATATTATTAATGTTTTATAAAAAAAACATATTTATTTTTTTCACAAGCAGTTTATAAAAATCATTATTACATAAATTTATGTTAGGTCCAGGAGATAGCCGTAAAGAATACATAATGACAAATGTACTAATGGAAAGTGAAAAATTTAACGTAAAAGCTGAATTAAATAAAATGTATTGAAGTTTCAGATGAATATCATCTGACCAGTGGAGTTGAGGATGTAATAAAATGTATTACTTCTAGAGCTCCAACCTTAAAAGGTTTTGCCTCGTACGAAGGTCAAAAATCTCGTATATTGGCACAAATTGCCTCTCCAACCTCGTACATTGTCATATATTGACACCAAAAGGTTCGCGTGCGGATGGGGAGGTCGGGGCATATTCATTTACTAAATAAGTTGTACGAAACTCATAACTGGTATAAAATTATGTAAAAGTATGTCTGCAGTGAAAATTGACCTACTCGTAATTTTATGCTCTATAATAAATATCTCTTATAAAAGTATAAAGTTGATGGTGTCCTCTAATCTCGTACCAAAACCTAAATACTCGTACATGTACTACGAAGATTCTCATATACTTAATTGTCAGACTGTTTGCTTGGCTATATCTTAGATTTAACCTTTTTTAACGACTTGATTCTTAAGGACTGTATGTTAATTTTACGTGCACTAAAACGACGGCCTCTGTTAGTAAAGAGAGTATTTCAAAGTGACAATATAGAACAAAGACAAGCATATATATTAAAAAAAAAATACTGTAACAATATTAAATGGTACGTTTCCCTTATTACTTTAATAAAATGTATTTAATTTATATATTACGTGTATGTATTCGTTGTTTATGAACACTGTTATACCTACATAATGTATGTATATATTTGTTAACTAACATATAGAAATAACATAAACAAAAACCTCCTCATATTTTCCTCCGCCATAAGACTAGTCAATGTTATAGTTTTATTTATGTAAATTTATGAATACATATGTATAACAGTAATATACTGTAATACATATGTGTTCATAAACCGTATTTGATTATGAAAATTAGTAGGCATTAGGGTT